CTAATGCTTGACAAGATAGAGAGTCACCCCAATCACATACCTAACCTAGATTGGAACTCTATCAACGTCAGCTACCTTAAATCCCATTTGTCTCCTAAATCTAAATATTATATTTGGAGAAACTCTTCAAATGCCCACATCAATTTTGGTGAGGGTAAAAGTTTCTGTCATGATTGTAACACAGAATCTGACCTTAATCACTATATTCATGAATGCCCTGCTCTGGATAGTGCCAGATACTTTTGCTTGTCAAAAATATCTGATATTCTTGATCAGAGAGAGTGTAAACTCACTCATATTCAATTCAGACCAGAAAAGCATCACCATGTACTCTTCTTCCACCATTCTGGAACCACATTCTTCGAAGATGGATACGTACAACAATACCCAGACATTGCAGAGAAATGGCCTGAGATCCAGGGAGCCATTTCTAACTTTGTCGGCCGCTCCTATAGATATTATTATATTGACTCAATGTAAATTTACAAATTCAAAGAGAATCTGAATAGATTCGTTATTATTGCAATAAAAGATTTTTTATTTAAATAAAATTAAACGATTTAAAAATGGCGGGAAAGAGAAAAAATTGAGTGCTAGCATTTACTCGAACACCCAAACTGTTAAAAAAAATGAGTCTACGAATCAAGAAGAGAACTTCACCCTCCTCCACCTCTTCATCCAATCCAAATGACATCGAGCATGATACATCTACTTCTACCATACCTCCTCGTTCCGAATCATCCAACAACACTAAACATTCACTTTTAAAAAGACCAAGTTTAATTTTACCTAAAGTAACCTCTCTATTCAATAATAATAATAATAACCACTACTACAAATAATCATATAAATAATTCTATAAATAGTAAGACTATTTCAAATACTATCATTAATAATAATAAATTAATAAATATTGAAGATGAAGAAGAAGAGGAAGAAGAATATAATTTATCTTCAAATGAATCTAATCATTCAGATATTGATCAATTTAAATATAAAAAAGTAAAAAAAAGAATTAATTTTGAATATAATTGCCAATTATGTAAAAAAGATATAACTAATTGTAGTAAAACAGATAGAAGTAAACATATTAAATTATGTTGTAAAGTATATCAAATAAGTAATGAACAATTAAAAAATTATTTAAATGAATTAAAAGAAAAACAAAAAGAAGAAGCAAATTATTTTAAATTAATTAAACCAAAAAGGAAAAAAATTAAAAAGGAAGAAAAAAATGAAGTAATTAAAAATGATTTATTAGATTTATTTAAATTTAATAATCAACATTCACTTTGTAAAAATACAAATATAGTAATTTATAATAATTTAAATGAATGGTTAGAATCAATTAAAATGATTAAATATTTAAATAATTTTATTAATAATGGTTATGATAATTTAGAAATTATTTGTAATTTAAATGAAAATGATTTAATTAATCCTTTAAATATTAATTTACATGGTCATAGAAAATTACTAATTATAGAAATTAACAAATTAAAACAAAATTTAATTTTAAAAAAGGAAAGAGATTTATTTGAAAAGAGAAAAAATGATTTAATTGAAAGAAGAAATAAATAAAAGAAGAATTGAAAATAATAA